AAAATGTTATGAGCTTGAAAAATACTTAGAAAATTGTCTGAGCCAAACTAAAAAAAAAAAAAAATAATAAAATCTTGCACAATTTAAAATAAATTCATTTTGTATTTGATTATCATAATATTTAAGATTCTCATCATCTTTTACAGCGCATCAGTGAGTCGATCAAATCAGTGTTTAGCTTTTCATACAGCTGTTGATGGCATCTCTGTCTCTGTTTCTGTTTCTGTCTCTGTCTCTGTTTCTTCCTCTGCCTGTGTAACGCGTTCGCTCTGTTGCCTCAAGTGTATTTTACTTAACTTTGTATTTAATTTACGGCCCACATGGCTGTTCCGCTACGCCTACGAAGCGGCTCGAATTTCGCATTGGCACTGCCAGCAAATTGGTGTGGCTGTTAATGGCATACGGAGCGTGGAGCACGCATGAGCCACGCATGTTGATTACGGCCGAGCAACAACAGCGACAACAACAATGCAAAGAAGGCATAGAAGTTGCTTAAATATGCATGAGAAAGACAAACATATTGAATTTCAACAGGATAACAAGCAAATGCAGCGGAAATATTTAATTCCTGCTTACCGTAATTGACATTTTAAATCAAAAACAAAAACAAAAAACAAAAAAAAGAAACAACGATAAAATGGAAAGCCAAAATCAAACAAAAAACCAGGCAACAGCAAGCAATTAAGGCTTAATACAATATCTGATTACCTCACGTTGTTTTCGTGCTGAAAATGCAAATTTTTATTTACAGCTTGTCCACTGCGCCATAAAAAGCTCAATGTGTTCAACGTACGTATACGTAATATTGCCCGGATTTCAGTAGATATTCGAATGGAATTCACCGTCAGTGGGTTGGTCGAGTCTGGAGTTTGTTTGACTATTAAAACACTCAAATACATTTGCCAGTGATGGAACTTAGAGAAGAAATGAAATGCACAATTTATAAAATATGCACTAAGGGAATCATTTATGAGTTGGTTAACCCGTACTGAAATATTTCCCACAACTGAAACTTTTCCTGCATTCCTTGCAATGCCTGCCCAGAGCATGAGTTCAAGTTTTACGGCAAATTTTTGCTCGTTTCTTTTGCGTTCATGCAACACCTACATTTGTACTCGTTATATGCATATGTACAGTAGTTACCTAATGTACTGAACATGTTGTGACATGTTCTCGTCTCTCAGAGATACATATATGCCCAAATACATTTGCATTGTTTTTGGCAAGAATTAAATAAATGAGAATGTTGCAGTCGGGTGCTATCGACTACAGAATACTCATTCACATTCGAAATGCTGATAGCTTGCGTTGCGATGTGACGAAAACTGATATATATATATATATATGTATACATATTATTGTTGATACGACAGTAGAATAGGCCAACAGTAAAATAGTCATTTAATTTGAGAGTTTTAGATCTAAAACTGTAGAAGCTACAGTTTGATGCGATTTGGCATTATATACATGGAAAACAAGAGATAAACCAATATACCCGCTTGACTTTGTGAATGAGCATATACATATACGTATACACAAACACACATGTGATTATATAATATAGATGGAAGACACGAGATAAACCTATATACCCATTTCACTTTGTGAAAGAGCATAAACATATACATATATGTTATATACGAGGAAAATCAATATACCCGTTTTACTTTGTGGATGAGCATAAACATATACATATACAGAAACGCACATGCGATTATCTAATATAAGTGACAGACAAGATATAAACCAATATACCCATTTCACTTTGTCAATGAGCATAAACATATACATATATGTTATATACGAGGTAAACCAATATACCCATTTCATATAAACATATACATATACACAAACACACAAGCGATTATGTAATATAAATAACAGACAAGAAATAAACAAATATACCCGTTTCACTTTGCGAATGAGCATAAACATATACAATTACACAAACACACATGCGATTATATAACATATATGTTATATACGAGGTAAACCAATATACCCATTTCACTTTGTGGATGAGCATAAACATATACATGTACACAAACACACATGCGATTATCTAATATAGGTGGCAGACAAGAGTTTTAATTGAATATTACATTTCATATCAGCTCAGGCAGACTATGAGGCTTGTTTGGAATAGATATTGTCTTGCAGAAGCCAATCAATGCAGCTGCTGCAGATGTTTATATTGCAGTGGCCGGATACTGCTTCGGCTTGGCCAGCCAGTTGACCCCGCCGAGACATGTTGCCAGCCAGCAGGACAAGTTAGCAGACATTTGGCAGCTATCATATTTGCCGATGTCTGCATTTACTTGCCATCGGATATCTCGCCCAAAACTTGCGTATGAACTGTGTCCGTGCTGAAAACTCAAATTGAGATGGCAAGTCGCCAAGCTGAGCGTTTGCAAGCGTCTCCCCCTCCCCCGCCCCCTTTGTTAAGTTGTCACTTGCAGGCGATGGCATCAACTCGCATGCATGTAAGTGCATGCACGCATGCATGCTTGCCCCTCTTTCTCTCCTGCTCTCTCGCTCTCTGTATTCGCATGTGGGTGACAAAACAATTGGGTGCGTCAACAAGAGCAAGTGCAGCCGCAGCTGCAGCAGCTGCTGTTGTCTCTGCATCCGCGACCGCCAACCAGCTGTTAGCCAAATGAAGCATTTTATGGCCGACAACAGTTTTGGGTGGCTCCATCCGGAATGTGTGCAGCTCACCATGATTGTTGGAGCCATGGGCATATAGTTTCAGCACTTCTCTGCTCACCCATTTCAATGCACTTGGCAATTTACTCGATTCGATTCCGTCAATAGTTGGACTCGATGGGCTAACTGTGCTAAATAAACTTTCCAGAGGGCTTTAGTTGGGTTTGACCGACTAGAAAATACTGTGAGCTGCTGGCCAGTTTCAAGGTGGAATGGGAGAACTTGCAGTCGATTTGTTCATCAACTGGAAAGCACTTGTGCCCATTGAGGCTGAAAAAATCTCGTTATTGGGAAATCTTCGAATGAATGAATGAATCAAGTTTCAATTTGAATAAGTAAGAAAACTCTATTCCCCTCTGGGGATATCCTGAATATTGAATGATTCAAGTTTTTTAGCTAACACCAATCTACACTCATATCTTTTATCACATCATTCAAACTCACTTTTTTATTATTTAATACCATAAAATAGCCAAGTCTTTTAGTGCTTTATAGGTTTCAAAGTCTCTTATTAAAATAAAATATAAAAAAACATTAAAAAAAAAAAAAAAATTTTAAATTTTGCCATTTTATTTGATCTAGAAATAGATAAAAAAACACAACCACGGAACCAATGACCAAATATTTTGTTTAATAACTTCAGAATTACTAAACCGATTTTAATGCAATTGTACGCACATAATTTCTATGTACTCATAACTTGATGCCAATTTAGAAACTATGCAAACTGTATTTCATATTGGCCATATTAAAAGCTGACTTTCAATTTGAAGAATATTTCCAACGTATAATGGCACTATTGTTAAAATATGTCTTATATTGTATAAATATGGACTCTGGCTCTAAAGATTTACGAAATGTAATTCTATAGATAAATTTAAACTAGTCTTTTATCGACTATCGACTATCGATTTTAAATCATTTTGATCTGAGATCGATAAGTTTATACATAAGAAACGGGGGGACTGGTAGACAGGCGGATAAGACTACATTGACTCTAGAATTTATGGTATATATGTATATATGCCACGCCTCCTTCTGCCAGCCTACATGACTTTTGACCAAACCGTAATACTCGTAATGCCCATTTTTAATGTGGACCCCTGCTTCTCACTCATGCACTCAGCTTTTATGCCTATCATATATATTTCAAAAATACAGGGTATACAGTGTTAATACTCAGCACTTTCCTGGAAATTGTTATCTAAACAAAATCGTGTTTGTTTATGTTGCCGGCCTTAAGCCATATTTGTAACTGAAATTCGTAGACAGCTTTGCTCACGCAGTAGGCTTCTCAAGTGGCACACAGCTGGCTCTGACTGGACTGCCGTCACTGTCATTCCCAGTGGAAATGGAATCGAGGCTAGGCGTCGAGATTTCATGGAATATTGAATAAGCAAACAAATTTCAAGCAAAGCTATACATATTTCTTCAGTACATTCAAAACGGGTGAGTAGAGCGCAGCGCTGTGCGAGCGAATTTGGCTTTTTTTTATTGAAGCGGTAGCAATATTCCGAGCAGCAACAGAAGACCTCACCATGGCATCGGGCATCGAGGTCTCCACGGAGTGCAAGAGCATTTTCGAAGAGATACGCAAGCTGAAGCAGCATCGCTATGTGATCTATGCCATCAAGCAGGAGCGCGAGATCATCGTGGATGTGGTTGGACGTCGCAATGCTAGCTACGATGATTTCCTCAACGATTTGCGCAAGGGCGGACCGGAGGAGTGCCGTTATGCGGTCTACGATTATGCCTATCATCACCAGTGCCAGGGCGCCTCGTCGACCTGCCTGAAGGAGAAGCTCTTCCTGATGCTCTGGTGTCCCATGCAAGCCAAGATCAAGGACAAGATGCTCTACTCCAGCTCGTTTGCTGCACTCAAGAAGGAGTTCAATGGCGTCCAGAAGTATATTCAGGCCACCGAATTGGATGAGGCATGTCGCGAGTGCGTTGAGGAGCAGCTGCGCATGCTAGACCGCAACTAAATTGAGTAACGCATATAACAAGGACAACAACAACACCAATGACCACTACTACCACTACTACTACTACTTATACTCATACTAACACTAAGACTAACACCAACACTAACACTGATGCTACATTACAGCATAATAGCAGCAAGCACTAGAAAAAGCGAAAAACAATAACAAAAACAAAAGCAAAAAGAAAAGCAAAAGCAAAAACAAAACACATTGTAAAACCCATTAGCTGGCAGCCAAATTGTCTCTTAAATTGTTGAGTTGCATATTAAGCATAATTGGCTTTAATCTTATCATTATTTCCGTTACAAACACACACACACACATACACATACACATAGACAATTCAAGCAAGACAACGCCATCTTTAACATCTGGATATCGAAATCTGTTGAGCTATATAGGCTCCACATGGCGCCACATTTGCAACTGGCTCCACTTGGTGGCAATTTGATTAGATTTTGCAGCTTCTAATGAGCCCATTTAACATTTGGCTGGGCGCGGCCACGCCACGCGGCATCAGTTTGCAGCGTCAACTGTAATTTATTGCGGCACCACCCTCAACTGACGAGACTCCATCCCCTACTCGATACGACGCCACCCCCATCAGTCTGGGCTAAAAATAATACGAAGACGACAAAACTTTTACCATTGAGGCTTTTTATCTCATTCCTAAATCATGACCGAGTTGAGATTCACAACCAGCCGCCTTCAGTCTTCAGCCGCCTGCAGCTTCCATCCAGCTTCCAGTCTTCAATCACCAGCCTTTCCATTTCATTTGGCAGAGCATTTGGAATTAATCAAGCCGGGAATGAGCACGTCGCCTGCTTAAATTAAGAACACAGCAAAATACAAGAGAATTTCTTACATTCCGAGTGCAATAAGCCCAATAGTTCGAGACTCGGCGACCGGCTAATGGCGAGGCAAGCCAGCGTCAAATGCAAATAAACACAGACGATATATAATGGCATTTGGATTCGATGGGCTTGCGGTGTACTTGAACAATGCCAGCTCGTTTGGCCGGCGATGCCCCAGAAGGGAATTGGAATTCGAGCTCATGAATATTCATCATACGCCCCGTTGCGGCGACTGTCGCCCAGCAAAGCTACTTGGAGCCACAAGAAGGAAGTTGATAGCAAAGCAGATAGCAAAGATTCAAGCAGAGCTTGCCATATAATGCATAAGGAAACATAACAAGAGACACGACAATAAGACAAAAGAGTGCAAACAGAGACAGAGAGAAAAAAAACACACAAACAGAAAGAGTGCACAACATAGAGACAGAGAGATAAAGACCAACCAGCCCTACAACTACACCTACACCACCTCATACCACCCCACACCACCCACACACTCACACAAAATCAAAGCAAAACCGAAAAGGGCACACAGCAAACAAAACACGAGCCAAAAATCCACGCAAATCTAGTGGAAAATTAAAATTTTGCCAATTTATGCGTGCAACAAGGACAGCAAATGCCAACCAGCGCCAGAGCGTAACGCCAGATATTGGAGCAAAAAGGAAACGATTTTGGCTGCCCACATTTTGGCGTCCCTTTAAACAGAGACCACATTCCGGCCATTGGCCTCGAAATTTATTAGACGCACACAATTCGCAGGAGATGCCGAAGCATTGACTGCTCAATTGGCTCGCACCTTGCCAGCTAATCAAGGTGAAACTATCAACAAATTTATCAAAATGAAATGCTATTCGAAGCACAAATTATATGTATTGACTATTGAAATACCCTATGTTTTATTGTTCTTGAGGGAATGTGTGGAAATCAAAGACGTGTGCGACGGGATCAGTTCAGCAATTGAGAATGTCTATTTTATAGGCAGTGTAGTTTAATTTTTCATGAATTTCATGAGGTGAAGGGGCATATTGGTTTTCGTCTGCCTGTCTAACGTTTCGTCTCTTTGCAGTTCATCCGTCCGTATGTCTTGCTATATGCCCGAACGTCAGTGTTTCATCCGTCTGTCTGGATTACTGTCCGTGTGGAACGGCCACGAAGGCCGTTCGTACGTCTGTCTGATTTAGTCTCCGTCCGTCTTTCTGACCGTTCGTACATCTTCGTTCGCCTGGCTTGGTGTCGGTTCGTCCGCTGGCTCGCCCCTCTTCATGTCAATCTAGATACATCTTGATGCGTGTCTTGCTGTCTATCCTTACATCCGTCGTGCTGTCCCTCCGTTTGCCCCGCTCTCCGTCCGTTCGTCTAGCTATAAAAGGCCATTGAGACTAGAGACTTCCCTAAATATTATATATATTCTTTTTGGGGGCATGAGAAATTGGTAGAAGTCATATCTTCCAAAGTTTTGAAATTTCATTAGTTTAGTTACTGCCGAGCTCTTGCTGACGCCTTTACCAACAAGGATGCTACTGCCTTCGGATCTATAAATCATCGCCATGATTTGAAACAGCGATTCGTAACTCAGAAAAGAGAAAGCTAACGCAAGATCTCATCAGACCATGCTCAGAGTGCCAGCTCCAAGAAAGTCTTGACCTACGTGATAAGCAAGCCTCCCTCTCGAGAGTAATTTCGACCTATATATAGCTCATACGAAAATAGATAACCACGTCTTTTTATTCCGTCTTTTGATTCCTTAGTTTATTAATATTGAATTGCTTATCGAAATATATAATTTAATTTGATCCGAGTTTTTTGCATCTAACCTCTATGTAAACATGTATACGAAAATTGGTCCGCGCTTAGTGATTCCGATGTTTATTATTGCAGTTGAGTTGCTTCTCCGAACGGATATGTTGTGGTAGTAAAATCGAACTGTTGTATGTGGGAACGTGATGTGAACATCAGCTAATGCTACTGGAACGATTGGTACTGGTAATCATAGTTACAAAATTTAAAATCAATGGTGAGGAGGGTGTGGGTGCTGTGGGCTATAGTGTATCGCTATGGTGTGTAGCACTAATTGATTGCATGGCTATAGCTGGTGTTCGTGTACGCTCTCCATGTTGCTGCTGGAGGTGGTGCAGCGGCCGAGCAGTAGGGGCGGCACCGGCTGCGGTAGGTCTCGATTGGGTGATTTGCCGCCGGAGCGACGGGAGCGCTGCTGCTGGCGCAACGACCAATGCAGGCGATAGAAGTCCTCCTCGTCGGACAGCTGCTCTTCGGAGCCAATCACTGGCTTCGGCTGGCGCAGGTGTTTGCTGACTTTAGTCTTCGACACCGAGTCGCCGGGCATGGCGCGTAGGGGCGCCGAGGGCTGTGGCAGGCTCAATTGGGAGTCCGGCCTATTGCTGTGGCTCTTGTCATCGTCCCAGGCGCGCGATATGCCGATCTGGAGCTGTTGTCGCATCCGCTTCTTGACCACGCTGGGTATATTGATCAGGGAGCTGCGATAGTCGGCGAAGCTGTCCAGGCTGTCGGCGGGCGACTCTTTGCCCAACTCGGCCATGCCCAGGCGACGCATACGCTTCTGGAGCATATTGTCAATGTCAGGATTTGGAGGTGGCCCCGAGGGTCCCGGCTTGGCCGCAGCGGCGGCCAGTTGATCGCCAACCACTTGCTTGCGCAGGTCACTCAAGCGAACGTCCGGTCCGGCGCGTATACGGTTCTTCGCTAGTATAGACTGGTGCGGCGCCCGGTGCCTCACAACGCTGGCAATGCTAAAGTCCGAATAGTCGTCCAGGGTGCTCTCCGGCTGCTCCTTGACACCGCCGCTGGGTCGATCGCTCTGGCTGAGCCGCTGCAGCACGCTCGGCAGCTGCGCCGGCTGCTGCTGCTGCTGTTGGATGCGCTGCTTGAATAGATTGGCAATGCTGGACTTTTGGCTCTTCAGCTTCTTCTTGTCCTGTCCCAGATCGCACTCCGACTGCGCCTTCTCGTTCGGCGGCTGCGAGCCGCTCGGCTCGTCGAGGAAGCTGAATCTATCGATGTAGTAGAGTTTCTCCGGCTGCTTGCCGCTGGCCGGACTCATCTTGTACTCGATCATTTGCAGCTTGTAGACGTTCAGGCGATAGCGCATGCTGCTGATACGGCTGCGCACGAACGAGGGCGAGAGGTGGGGGCCCAGCTGGTTGCTGATTTCCTGCCAGGCCTGACGCTTCAGGGCCGCATTCTCATAGTCACTGATGGTTGTCTTCCACAGGCACGGATACTTGCCGTATAGGTCGATGAGCCGCAAGTGGAACTCCTCGTCCTGTGTCGACGGCAGCTTGTCCACGGCGGTGCTCTTCGCCGAGTCCCGGCGCTGTCGCTCGAGGCGTCGTGCTTCCATCGTTCAATCGAGCCAAGTGTTAATCAAGAAGAAAGGAAAAAAAAAGAACACTGCTACAAGAATTAGTTTAGACTATACAACTATAACCACATGCCTGAAACACGGACAACTGAACTGTAAATAGGTTTTTGGGAGAGTTACGATACTCAATAGTTTCAACAGGAATCGGAGCAAATGTTGTTTATCGCATAGAAATATATATTTTTTTAGTCGAAATTTATTTTTGTGTATTTCCGTGTGTCTTCTGTTCTGTCAACCAAACAAATTCTGTTCCCTGTCAAAACGAGCAACAAATCATCGCAAAAGGCATTCCCATAAAGCAGCCCATGACTTGAACGTCCCTCTGAATGCTAGTTGGTGAACGAGAATGTTTCAACAATTCATTTTAGCTTGTTACTGACACGAGTCGGACGAATTTCACTCTTCCAAAATTTTTCGATTCCAAAAATAAAACTAAAACATCTAATAAACTTTCCTTTCTGCACATCTTTCGGCTATATACAAAAATACATACAACACTATCCTTTTTCTTTTTTTCTTAAAAATGAATCCAGGAGGTGATCGTGTTAAGCCATCAAAGGCTGGTAGCCGACGAAGGACTCAAACTCAAATCAAAGAACGAAAGGAAGTTGAGGAAATTTTGGGAATGATCTATAGCGAATCATCAGCGGCTGGACTTAGCGGTAATTTAATATCGTCTGAAACACGTATACTGGGCAGGCTTGAGACCGTTACCTTTCCCGGTCGTTATGTGACCAGAGTTCTCACCGTTCGTCCATTTGAAGTTACAAAGCGTTTCGTACGTCCGCAAATAACATTTAGTAAAGGATCTGAGCCAAATGCCGATAGCGTCCTGAACAAACTGTTTAGCATTACGAATCTGGAAAACCTATTGCTTCTGATAACGCCAACAGAAGAACCATCGGAAAAGCATATCGTGCATGGCTTCGCAATCGACGGAGAGCGCCATCTAGGCGTCACGAGTCTGACCACCGACGAAAAGGATCTACTAGTGTATACCCAGAGACCAGACAACTACACAATAGTCTTCTGCTCGAGCTACGTTACGCTGGAGGATGCCTTCAAAAAGACGGAGATTAGAAATCGTGTCTTTGAGATAACCATAAGTCGGCCAACAAAGCCAATCATTGTGAACTATGACGGAGATGAGGTGTCCCTTTCCATTCGTCTGTTTAAGCCCCGCAAGGAGCTTCCTCCACTCCCCAAGAAGAAGAAGAGCAGCAAAGCAGCACAGCGCTCACCACAGCTATCAGTTGATTTGGCTTCAGCTAGGGGACTCCGGCACAGACCGCGTTGCAGCTCAATGCTGCAAAGTAATGTCATGGCGAAGAGTTTGGCAGCAAACCGCATGCCACTGGTTGAGACACCGGACATCGGGCCTTTGGGGCGACCAAAGCCCTCGAAAACGATTATCAAAGCCAACACCGAGATGCAGCTTGGAAAGAACCGAGCGCTGTCCCATTCAAGGACACATATTGAGATGAGCCCCCCACATCCCAATCAAGCCCCACACATCCCAATCATGCTGCACAAGAAAGGCAAGGCACGTACCCAGCTCCAGATGTCAAGCGGCAGCCGCAATGAGCCCATGATGTGTACTCACTCGGAAATAAATACCAGAATGGACTACGGCCGGGGTCGAGCCAATATGGAATTCAACTCGGGAGCCAGCGTGGACAGGAACAACGCTTGGCAGCGAAACTCTCCAGACGATCTACGCTCAAAAATCATGTTGGACAAATCGCCAGCTCGGAGCTGTACGGCTTCACCGCAGTTCTGCAACAATGCTGACAATAGACCATTGAATAATAAAAACTATTTGGCGATGAGAAATGATCTCGGCGAGAGGCCGTCTGTGGGAAAGTGCAGCAGCTTGATTAATGTTACCAAGTCTCGCGAGGAGTTGGTCGGACGTAGTCAATCCAATTCAGCTATGACGCGCCGAAACAGCGAAGAAATTGTCAACTCGAGTAGGAATGATTCTATAGAGAATCGCACACAATCGCTCGGTCCCATCAAAGCCGGCAGCGACAAACTTAAGAAGCTTTTTAAGAACCGCACCTTTTCGACTCTTGTATCGACCCGTCGTCGAAATTCACCGGACACTTTTAAAAATTGCAATGCAAAATATCGCGACGATGGCGATAAGAAGCTAAAAGTTTTGATGAAACCTCGATCAAAGACGCCCCTATTCCAGGACAGCAGCATTTCGTCATGTAGATGCCTTCCCCAGGAGGATTCCGTTACTGTAGTTTCACCGCCTCACAGCTCGGTGATGATGACCGATAGTGGAAGCTCAAGCGGCAAGGCTCCAGGACCGACCCAGGCGCATTCGCATATCTCCATCACAAGTAGCGATATAGGGTTTAGGACCCCAACAGCAATCACATCGAAAGAGGTTATTCGCGAACGCCATTATCCGTTGCCCAGTGGGGACGCGGCATGGTCAAGTCCGACTAGTGGACGCAATGACATTGAAAGCTCGATCTACAGCTCATCGGGTAACTCGTCCAGTCGAACTGACAGCCCGAGGTTCGACGTGCGAATTGAAGATGACTACGACGATAGCCTGATGTCGCTGAGTAACCTGCAGAGGAACGAGGATAGACACGGCAATACGTTGCATCAGGAGGAGCTGCGCAGCGTCGACGGTCTACCACCGCCAGCCCCAAGGAAAGTGGCTGATCTGCCGCAGCCCCAGGCTGGCAATGGCAATGGCAATGGCCCCACCGTGAGCGCACCCAAGCGCAGAATATTTATGACTGAGATCGATAAGTCGAAGATGTTGGAGCGTGAGCGCCTATGGAATTGCGCTAATCCGAAACACCGAGCAGCGTTCAATGATAGCACCAAGCGTCCGAGAATCGCCCGGCATGTGTTGCAGAAGAAGCCATCCACAGTGAACGATAATATCAAGGTCCTGTATAATCCTCATCCACTGCAGGAGTCCGATGGCGACATTTTTGAGAGCACCGATGTATCCACTCTGAACTTTGAAACATCACAGTCCATCGTCACTGCCAAGTCGTCGGAATTCGAACGAGTCCTGGAACCGGTACAGGTGCCAGAACACTATTCAGCACGTGCCCACGAGCACCTGAAGACCAAGCTGAGGCGCATGACTGCCAAACAGGCATTCGAGAACTTGGGCAAGCTGGTGCAGAAGATCAATTCCCGATCCATACCACAAAACCGACAGCTGTTGCGTTTCTTTCGCCTCGCTGCACTGCTGGAGATCAAGATGTTCGTTCGATTGGAGACCTACTGGGGAATGCCCCCAACCATCGATCCGCGCTGTCGCCTCGATTGCTACATGTTCGACGATCGCAATGAGTTCGTTCTGTCGATGGGACTGCTCTGCAAGCAGCTCAACATATTTTGCGAACTATTTCCGACCGTCAAGGAAAACATACGCTACGTAGATAATGCTCTGCAGCTGACCATGATGCCGAGGGGATTAACCGATTTCCTCCAAACACTAATGACCACATTGGGTGCCGAGAAGATCTTCAAGCTCTTGGCCGAGATGATATACGAGATGATGCAGCCGAAAGCAACGCTTCTCGCTTTGGCACACGCAAACCAAACCAAAATTAACGAATCTGACCAAACCGATCAAGAACTAGTAGATCCCGAGCGCAACTCTATATTAGAAACGGAAGATGCTCTGCAAAAGCTCAACACCGAGTTAGACACAGTCGCTTTGGACTGACCTCATGTCAAAAAGCAGATTATTTACAAATTTGAATATCTGGCCAATGTCTATCCAAATCGCATCCAGTTTAGTTTCGGAAATTTTACTACATCCTTACACGCCTGACGCGACCCAGCTAACATTTATTCCGGTACGTACTTTGCATTTGTGGCTTACAATATTTGCGCACACAATCGATTGGAAAATTGAAAGTTTTTCGACAGTGTTACACTACTTCAAATGGTTGGGGAAGGGGGAAGTGGGAAGTGGGAAGGGGTGTGCCGGTTTAGACTTGTGACAATATAACAAAACACACACCAATGCATCATCAGCAAGTTGAATGCCCCAGACCCAGTCTTAGTCTCAGTCTCCGTCTCCGTCTCAGTCCGTGTTCGTGCCCGTACCGGATCCGTGTCCGTGTCCGTGCCATCATTTACACGCTTCAGGGCACTCGCATTATTTGCACTGTCAGTAGACTAGGGAAGAGGAAAAACAAGTACGCAAGTCTCATAGTTTTCTCATTGTCTGCGCCAGCAAGAAAAACAAAAAATAGAAAAGAAAGAAAGAGGACCTTAAATATTTACATAGCATCTACATGGCTAAAGAGTGGCAGCGCCGGAAGGAAAATCATTTCACTTTAACAAAAAGTAGTCCGAGCGGCAAACTCTATAAAACTAGGTAGCTGCAAAGTAATATCAAGCCAGACAGAAGTAAAGGAGGTATAGGGAGAGAGAGAGAGAGAGAGAGAGGGAGAGAGAGAGAGCGGGGCGAGGGCAGCCAAAGTCATAACCATCTTTATGCGAAAGCAAATGCATAAGAAAAGGTGCAAAGAGCAGAGCCAAGTCGATTGAGTAGTTTTTGCTGTCCGTTTACCCCGGGCGGACTTAAATTGAAATTAGAGCGCAGACGTGAAGCAATCATTTCAGTGGCAACACCAAAGCTCAGGCTCAGCCCCCAGCCCCCCAGCCAAGCTGCCTTGGGGCTCAGTGAAGTGTGTATTACATAGACCATTTAATCCCCACTTGCCTCCGCACACAGCTTATGAAATCTGACTATTTTTTGCCATCAGAAACATTCTAGCATAATTTCATATTTGTTTTCCCCTCTCTTCCAGACGGCAGTCCAATTTGCTGTCCCTTTAAAGTCGATACCATTCACGAGATGCACATAAGAAATGGATTACGTAATTACGTAAATAACTTTGAGGGAACAGCAGGATACGCTACCGGTGGATTGGAATAACCGAATTGGTCTATGTACTCAATAACATATATACATCTGCTATATATGTCCATACTATGACCCTCAACTTCCAGTCCACTGTGTCCACATATACGAGACTGTCGCCGATACAAAGTGGATCATTATCTAACTGTTTATCACGCGAAAAACAGATATGCCTACATCAAGACCACTTGAATCAAATGTTAAGCTGCTGGGATCACAACTTTTAATTTTTAACTTGTTATTTATAAATTATATTTTTATTAAAAAATTCGTACTTTTGGACAAATGCCGAGTTCTTTGTCTATTAGGAATAATGTTAAGTCTTTAAGTGGCTACAAATCTACCTCAGTAGCTGAGGGCACTGGAGAGTGTAGTAAAAGTAAATGTCGAGTCTCAGCAGTTTTTTTGGGCAGTTCAAGTAGTCGCAAAAATGCGCTCAGTGGGCGTTGTCCCAGTCCATCGTAAATCAGGCAAAGTATTTATGTTTTATATCAGGGAAACTAATCGAAGTGGCTGGCTGCCAATAATTTGCCAATCGATAGCCCATGCTGTTGACAGTTTGCGCATACAACGGTAATTAATGTCTTTTATGGCCTTTGGACCCAAAGACCTGGCCAACCTAACTAGTTATAGCCCCCAATCAATATGAAGTAAAATTGCTTAGGCAGCGATTGCGTTCAGTTTGCATTAGCGACAAATTATAGTTGAGTAAAATGCCACTTATGGCTTTTAGATTAAACTGAACTCAACTAAGCTGAAAATAAAGTCAACGTTCGTCGTACTCATCCACGAAAATGAAATGGGTATATTCGGTTTGCCGTCCAGCTGTCCAGCTGTTAAACTAGAGACTTGAAATTTTGTGCAAATACTCGATATACACGAGCGGATCGAGCTATAAAATATCTATATTTTCTTGATCCACCCGCTGGGGGTGTGACAATTCGTAAAATTTTCCAGTATCTCTAAAACTATGACAGTCAGCAACTTAAAATTTAACGACTACATTACTCAATGAATGTGAATGTGTATTCTGCTGTCGTTAACGCCCGACCTCAGCAATTTTACTTATTTTCGCTTACACTTTATTGATTTATATTTCATAAAACAAAAGAAATAAAACTCATGTAACACTAATTTTCACATATTTACGAAACGATTTTGAAGCTGCTGCGATAAAAGAGATTTATTACGCAGTTTTTCCGACCATTTGCCCAACTTTGTCCTCTTTTTTTTTGGGTGGCCCGATTAAAGGAAACAGCTGTAATAAATTCAACTTTCAGCACAATCGATTGTCGCCGTTGTCCTTAATGCTGGCGACTCCATGAAAGGCTATATTAAATATTTAATATGTATGTACCATATACATATATATTATATCTTTAAACCAATGGGAGTTCGCTTCAACGATTGTCAGTGTGGTTTATGTATGTGCATGACACATTTCTGAATATATTGAGCAGGATTCAATAATTCGATAACAGCTGCCGAGCTAATTCAACCAAGCTGAATGACAACGTGGATTAGCATTTCAGTCGGACGTAATTCCTCTTTTGCTTGACCAGCAATAATAATAATAATTGATAAATTTCAATTTGAAATGCATTCGGCCGTCCATGGAATCAATTGGCTAACCAGATGCTGTTAATTGAGTCTGTTTCATATTTAAATCATATTTAATTCAGTTAAGACCGTTGATTACCTCATACTAAAATGTAACTTTGAATTAAGTTCAGCCCAATTAGTGATAATTACAATTACTGAACATTTGTTAGCGATTCACTGAACTGATCTAATTGGTTATCCGTGTGGGTAGCGTTTGCAACATCGTACGTTAGCTCCTCGGATATTCGCTATTGGTGAGCTTTTCAATTTCGTTGTGCACATCCTGTGCACTCACTGCCCGTGGAAGTTTTTCTAATTCGTTTTAATATACTTGTAACTTATAACGTGCTACTCCACGAGCTAGCAGCGTATAATTAAAAAACTTTACATGAATCATAACACACGCTCATTTAACTTTAATTTGAAAACTTTTGCCTATCCCAATCAGCGCGAGCGAACAGCGAACAATGGATACTCGCGCAGAACCCACAATAGTGAAAGCTAAGGCGAAGAATGAATACAAACTTGAGTTTCAGCTTAACCGATACTTCGGTAACTTCGTCATTGTTATTGCCATTATCATTGTCATTGTCCTTGTCATTGTCATTGTCATTATCATTATCATTATCATTATCATTATCATTGTCATTGTCATTGTCATTGTCATTGTCATTGTCATTGTCATTGTCATTGTCATTGTCATTGTCATTGTCATTGTCATTGTCATTGTCATTGTCAATGTCATTGTCATTGTCATTGTCATTGTCATTCTTATTTTCAAAATTAATTCATCTTTTAAGTTGATGCTTAAGCTAACAATGGAGAGATCGAGAGGTTGCTTCCCGTAGCAAGCTCCTTAGCCATTTAATATGAATAGCCTGTTGTGATTGTATCTCAAGAGGCTAAGAGTGAACCGTGGCGGATGCGAAACTGACAAACAGCTTTACAACGGACACTTGCCTTGCGTCCTCAANATTGTCATTGTCATTGTCATTGTCATTGTCATTGTCATTGCCATTGTCATTGTCATTGTCATTGTCATTGTCATTGTTATTGTCATTGTCATTGTCATTGTCATTGTCATTGTCATTGTCATTGTCATTGTCATTGCCATTGTCATTGTCATTGTCATTGTCATTGTCATTGTCATTGTCATTGTCATTGTCATTGTCATTGTCATTGTCATTGTCATTGTCATTGTCATTGTCATTGTCATTGTCAATGTCATTGTCATTGTCATTGTCATTGTCATTCTTATTTTCAAAATTAATTCATCTTTTAAGTTGATGCTTAAGCTAACAATGGAGAGATCGAGAGGTTGCTTCCCGTAGCAAGCTCCTTAGCCATTTAATATGAATAGCCTGTTGTGATTGTATCTCAAGAGGCTAAGAGTGAACCGTGGCGGATGCGAAACTGACAAACAGCTTTACAACGGACACTTGCCTTGCGTCCTCAAACATCCTTTGTCCTTCGTGGCGCATTGTTGCCTTGCTGCAATCGCCGCTGCCACTGCAGTTGCTGTTGCTGTTGCTTTTGCTCCGTTTACATTTCCGTAGATGTCGCCATTTATTTTATGCAGTTGTCGCCGTTTTGAAGACGGCAGCTGCATTAGCTTTAAGCTGCTTAAACTGTCGTCCAGTGGTCTGTTTGTCCGAAGTGTTCAGGCAAACGCCTAAGCCCTTCGCTTCGCTTTCTGACTAACTGCCTGTTTGGCTATTTGGCTGCTAAATCAAATTGCAGCTGCTGACGGCCACCCAACAAAGCAACTGCCGCCGGCTGTGCTCACTCAACGGCAGCAGACAGCTGAACAGGCACAAAGCATACTTTCGAGCAACTGCAGACAACAAAGACTCCTCAAACAACAGCAATACTAACACCAACAATGCCAGCTACATCAACAGCAGCAGCATCAACAACTTAGTGATGGCAAGTTTCAGTGCAACTGGAGCTGCAGCCATTGATTTGATGACTTTTTGGCACTCTAGTTCCATCTGGATTGTAATTTGGTAGAGTGGAACTGCAAAATGGCAAATACTTGGATTGAGAACACGATGACTCACAACAAAGTCTTGTCGACTTTCCATAAGCCACTGCTGTTGCTGTACTACTTTGGCTTTAAAGCGCTTTACGGCTGGTAAAACAGAGCTTAGCCTCAGCTCAGATCTCACAGAGTATTTGATAGTCGCAACCAAATATAGCTATTATTGGCTTTTATTGCTGTTGTTGCTGTGACATAAGCTCAGCTGGAATATTCGAAATTTCTCGTCAAGGTCTTCCTGGAAGAAAACTATTCTGCCTGTCCCAAAATGAATTCGATAGGGTTAAAATTCATGTTGTAACTAAATTAAAAATATGTGCAAACATTATTGCACAAAATGAAAGGAATTTCGAAAAATAATTGCATAACTAGTTAGTTTGTCAAAAATAGAAACAAAACAACAACAAAAAAACTACTAGCGGCTACCACAATAACCACAATTTGACCCACCCACAACACGCTTAACTGTTGGCCCAAAAGTTTTCCTGAAAAAATGCGTACATAATATGCCACCGAAAAACGAGTAAAAGGGCTTTAGCCAAGACTCTTCGACTACGAGATACCCTGAACTCTTCGATGAACTCATATTCCAATAATTCCATGCTCTTTAAACTTATTTCTTGAATAAATCCTTTTGTAGATATGAAATTTATAGCTCTAACAGTATTCAAATCACGCTTCAGAAACGAAGTCAAATTCTTGATTATTATCGATAATAATGAGTTATTGAAAAATAAGATAAACTCGTATTTCGCATGGTATACTCGAGTAAAATTTCAAGTCTCTACTTTTTGTGGCTTAAGGACGAACTAATAGGATATGCAGCTTCAGCTCGTTATCCTGATCAACGCACTTCTTTACTGTAAGGGGTCTGCTAAGCCTTCCTCTCCCTGTTGCAAAAATTTCCACGAAACCCTTATACCCTGATTTCCCATTTTCAATGGGTTAAGGGTATGAAAACATAACATGCCGTCGACAAAAAAAAAAGGTAACAACAATAGAATACACAACAATGGTTTTTGTAGCTCTTACAGCTAGCAACCTTACATTAATCAAGGTATGTTTATTTATACATCCTTTTTTTTTTTGTCGTTTCATTTTATTAGACATATATATTTTTAGGAGCTGAAACTCTTTGG